CGAAGCAGCTACTTGTCAAACGACATGGTTACTGTACAATCCAATCCTTTCATCATTCGTTATCTCGACGAGACCGACGCATAGAAATAGTGTCAACCTCAGTTACTCTCGATATTATGTATTCAGTTACTAGACCAATGACCTGAATTATAAACTGGATACGACAACTTAATCCCACTGTGGCCACAGTTTTAGTGTCATTGCCATTTACTAAATTGCACCGTGAGATAACTCCCTCCGTACCCGGGAGTGATAAATCCTTTGTCTATCCACCATAGTCTTGATGCACTCCTTGATGCAGCTAATCACTACCGTATTGACAACTCTAAATAAAACTGCATTGGGCTAGTGTCAAACTATACCAATCGCGCTTCGGTTATCTCAAGTCTAAGGATCACATGCACCACTATTCGTTAGAAAATTTGTTCCATAGACACTGGGGTTAACATCCATATGGAATCCTCTGGTGGGTAAGTCCAGTGAACTTGCCTACAACAAGCACCCACGTGTTGCACCGGGTTGTCACCAAACAACCTTAACAAGTGAAATCAGTCACTATCTTTTGATAGGGTTGTTCAACACTATGATAGCCTTACCGTATTATCTGTTCCCTTACTTCAGAATAATACTAGGGCTACGAACGTTTCTAGAATGACCACCATATGTGCACATAGAGTTCTTACTATCAAGATTTGAAACACTTGATACCCTTGTCACGGTTCTACCATTCTAATGACATATATCAATACATACAAAGATGATTTACGTGAAATAGCATAAAATGCCTTTTATTGATCAATGAACATTATTACAAAGAGTCAATTCTACAATAATTGATTGGCTCTAGGGCATTTACTCTAATAAACTGACCTTTGAAGCCTAAATCTTGCCTGGGAATTCTTCCAAAGGTTTTAATCATTTGTTACACGTTTTTTATTCCCTTATGTTTATGGTAAATTAAAAGCTTTGAAAAAAAAAAAAAAAAAAAAACCTACAAAAAAGGTGGAATATGAAAATTAAGGAGGGATAAATAAATTCCGCCACTTTTATATTTTGGGGAAAAAATATAGTCTTTATTCTATTTGAAGTATAAATGTGAATTTTAATTAAAACAGCAACAATGGACTTAACCTAATTAAATAATAATAAGGACCATGGGCTTAAGCTAATTAAATAATAATAAGATCCATCATGACTAAGGTTAAACAAATTATCTTATTAATTAATCTTATAATTAGTAATGTATATAAATTATTTATTAAATTATTCAGATTTAAAAGATAAATTACATAAATTATGATGAAGAAAATTAAATTCTATATATTTAAGATAAATAATTTGAATTATAAATGATGAATAAGATAAATAATCTTTACATAGTGGGGTTGTTACACAAGCTAATTAACCATAATCCCATGTGATTCACTAAGTTCAATTTTTATAAGCAAACTTATATTCTTATTATAAACAATACAAAAAGATATTGTGAATTAAATCACGAGTGGTTTGAATTAATTGCAATTGATACCTTGAGAACAATTTATTAAATTATAAGGAGACGAGAGCGAGCTGAGCATTAGACCAATGATTAGAAAACCCATTGGATATGGTTCATACTTTGTATAGGCTTGAAGCTTACGTAGACACATTCGAGGGTCCCAGCCTTATGAAAATGAAAATTGGTGTGGTGAAAGAGACAAAGAATTAAATAAAAATAGACTACCAGGCCCTTATAGGTTTCTTGTTAGTTGTTCCCCACCATATCCTTTTTATATTTTTTCTATTAGACATCCTTTCTTGTTTTACTTCAAGTTTTACTTAATGGCGTCGTTTCTATTATTGTTTTTTTCTTTTTTCCGATGGCCTCAATCTTGTTAAAAATGGATGGTGTTTAGATCATATTAGATTAAAATAGTTATAAATCCATTAAGGAAAGTTTATTATTAAAATAGTATTTCTCTAAATTAAAATTCAATTAGATTTTAATATTTCAAATCAAATTTAAATTTTTTATTGAACGGATGATACATCCCACATGAATTTTCTTTTTCCCAAACTTTATTGCTTTTCCTATTAAAGTCACAAAAATATAAAATTTTGATGATATTATTGAAGATAATAATTAAAATATTAGCAAAACCCTTTTCACCAAGGCAAGATATGATATGATATGATGAAAGCCTTTCCAACACGTGATAGAACAAACACTAACATTAACTTTTTTCCTTATTTGTAGTTTTAATATCTTTCACCCAAAAAATACAGCGATTTGACTAGGGTCAATTTTAGGTGGCTTGACTTGAGGCAGCGGTCTAGCGACCAAGTTAAATGGACCTTCTCCTCCGCACTGGGCTCCAACTCTCATGCTCAGTTGAATCTAATTTCAAACATCCAATTTTATTTGTCTTGGTTGTCCACTCAACACCTCCTGGCTACTTTTATTCTTATCTATTTAGACCTACATTATATTATATGTTTAAATAACATAGATACTTTGCATGGCTTGGAGCCTACGTAGGCGCATTCGGGTCGAACCAAATATATTATCAATTATCATAGCTAATGGTATTAACAATAATTGACAATAAACAAATGTTGTCATTCTCAAATATTAATAGGATTATTAATGCTATTATCATCATTATCTAAAAAATATATACAAGTTTATATATACAAATATGTAACATAATCAATTTTTATAATATCTCATATTGCATTCTTAAAATCATCTATATTTCATAAAGTGTTAGTTTTAAATCATCATAGAAAAAACAAAAACCTCAGAGATCCTTTAAAATAAAATTTTATTTTACAAAAGCCCATACTATTCTTTTAAGTTAGTTATTGGTTGAAGGTTCCAATGTACTATTGACCTTAGCGGTGTGATTAACACTATGTCTGACTATAACCATTTAATTCATAAGTAATAAAAATATAATTATTCATGGGATAAATTAGAATATCTATGTCTACATACTATAAGGATTGTAGCAAATTAATTTTCACATTCTTTATTTGCCACAAATTCAAATAATTTATAGCTACTACACACATATTATCTATATATTTAAACTAGTAGCTAATAGTGATACTATAAGATTGATACTTCCATGAAAATAAAATTTGTATAACTAAATACCTTAATTAGCTAAAAATTTCAATATTTTATAGGTAATGCACAAACAATAGCTGTATAGTTAAACTCGTAGCTAAAAGTGGTAATATATGCTATATAAATAAAATGTTTATAGCTAAATACATTAATTAGCTACAATGTTTTACTATAGCTAATGCATTGTAGCTAAATGAATAGTTATTGTCACGATTTTAAAAAGTTAAAGCAAAAGATGAATATTAGCTTCGAGGGAGGAAGTCTTATCACTAAAATTATTTCAATTAGCTATAAATATTGACTTTTGTAGCTGTAAATATGTATTTGCTATAGTTTTCCTCTCTGTAGCTACTTTTCGTAGCTATATGTCTATAATGTTGTAGTGCCAGAACGTCATCATGTTGAGTCACGAGATAACCGTATCTCTCGGGCTCACGGCGTACTCTCCCAGATCTACGTAGCTTCTGTGCTACCTTAGGTGGTTCACTTTGATCCACAAATTATGGAGTAACCTCCTCGCGATGTTCAACCACCTTTTGTGGCACATCTTCCCGTCCTTCATCTAATGTATCTTGTGGTACTAGAACTTCATCGAGTTCTACTTTTCTCCCACTAGAACTTTTTAAAAAAAATTCCTTTTCTAGGAAGACACTAGTACGAACAACAAAAATTCTATGCTCTTTTGGGTGGTAGAAATAGTATCATTTTGTCTCCTTAGGATACCCCACAAATATACATTTGCAGGATTTCGGGCCCAACTTTTTCGAAGTCAATTTCTTGACATAAGTTTCACAACCCCAAATCCTTAGATAAGACAAGTTGGACTTTCGTCCACTCTATAGTTCGTATGAAGTCTTATCTACAGATTTTGACAGCACATGGTTCAGTGCGTGAGTCATAGTCTCTAGGGCATAACCCCATAATGCTGCAAGTAGATTACTAAAACTCATCATGGACCTAACCATATTAAGAAATGTCATATTCCTCCTTTCAGACACTCCATTATGTTGGGGTGTGTACGGAGGAGTGAATTGTGATATATCCCATATTCTTTTAGGTATTCAGAAAACCCTAAGCTTAAGTATTCACCTCCTCGATCCGATCGAAGAGCTTTAATACGTTTGCCTAACATATTCTGTACTTCATTCCTGAATTCTTTGAATTTATCAAAGGCTTCAAATTTATGTCTCATAAGATAGACATAACTATATCTACTAAAATCATCAGTAAATGTAATGAAGTATGAATATCCACCTCTGGCTTCAACTGTTAGTGGACCACATACATCACTATGGATGATGCCTAACAGTACTTCAGTAGCCTTTTCACCTTGTCCTGTGAAATGAGACTTGGTTAGCTTGCCTAAAAGACATGATCTGCATACCTCAAATGACTGGAAGTCAAAAGGGTCCAAAACTCCATCCCTTTGAAGTTTTGCAATGCAAGTCAGATTAACATAACCCAATCTACAATGCCAGAGGTATGTTTGGTTTCGATCGCTATGTTTAGCTCTTTTGGTTTCAACTCTGAGAATATCCTTATTGTTTAAATCAAGAACATATAACCCGTTATATAACCTTGCAATTCCAAATATAATACCATTCAAACTAAAGGACAACAACCTATTAGAAATCTAAAAATGATACCCTATATCATCCAAAGCGGATACTGAAATAATATTTCTGGAAATAAAAGGTACGTAATAACAGTTATGAAGTTCCAATAACAAGCCCAAAGGCAAAGATAAATAGTAAGTTCCTATAGCCAATGCAGCCACATGCGCTCCATTTCCAACTCGTAGGTCCACTTCTCCCTTGGCAAGCAATCTACTTTACCTTAGTCCTTGCACATCAGTGCAAACGTGAGTGTCACATCCTGTGTCAATGACCTAAGATGTTGAAGGAGAGAAGTTAATTTCAACCATGAACATAGCTGAAGTTGAAGCCTCTAACTTCTTCTTGCTAGCGAGGAAAGCCTTGTAGTGCTTTCTCCAATGGCCAAGCTTGCCACAATAGAAGCAAATTACTCTTCCACCTTTACCAACACCACTCTCACGCCTAAGAGCACCCTGCCCTTTGGGTTTAGACTTGGGTTTAGCCTTGGCCTTTCCCTTTCCCTGACCCTTACCCTTACCTTTACCTTTACCCTTCCCTTTACCAACACCCACGAGTAAAACAAGTTTGGACCTTTTCATGTCCTGCTCTACAGTCCTCAGCATGTTCAGAAGTTCTAAAAGGGATTTCACCATCATGTTTATATTGAAGTTCATTATGAACAGTGAAAAAGAATCAGGTAAAGATTACAGAATCAAATCTACTTGTAATTCTACATCCAACCCAAACCCCAAAGTCTCAAGCCTCTCCATGTACTCGATCATTTTGAGTACATGAGGGCCAACTTTGGTTCCCTCAATCATGTGATTTCCAAATAGTGCTTTCAACACCTTGTACCTCTCATGTCAAGCATTCCCTTCGAAAAGCTCCTTGAGGTGCAGAATAGTGGCAGCAGCGTCCATATTCTCATGCTGTTTTTGCAGCTCAGTTGTCATTGATGCTAACATTAGGCATTGAACGCCATCAGCATCGTCAAGGAACTTTTGATAAGTGTCTTTTACTTCCTGAGTGGATCAGGACTAGGTTCAGCCATATATGGCTTATCAACGATATACAATTTCTTTTCGAACTTCAATATAATCCAAAGATTACGATACCAGTCTGAGAAATTGGATCCATCCAGCTTGTATTCTTTCTCAATTATCGGTCGCAAGTTCATAATGCTGATGTTGGTGAATCTACAATTGCAGAAAAGTGAAAGTCATTATAATTTTCATTAACGTTTAATATGGTCTTTTATTAAAACGCCCCCACTATTTTCCTCAAGTCAATAGCCCTCACTATTTACTCGAGAAAGCCCGTTGGCTTTCCTAGTGGACTGAGATCCCATCTAGCCTATTTCAAACCTCCACTTTGTCGAACAAGCCAAAATGGGTTGATTAGGTAGGCCAACAAACTTAATCCAAACCAGTTGATAGCTCCCACTATTAGCCTTAAGTGTAAAGCAAGCCAACAAGCCAATCACACAATCCAACGACCTAGCCATCGTCCTCAAGTGTGATTCCCATTATCAGTAGAGTGGACACTACATGTCACCACGTACACAACATGTGTACTTCTCTACTATGCCTATGACGTGTTTATGAACCTTCGCTTTAGCGAACAAGCAAAACTGTCATTTAAAGTCGACCCATCACCATTAAGGAAAACTCCAATGAGCTTTAACCTCCCACTGGTAGAAGTGTACCCTTCACTTTGGCGAACAAGGTTCTGACGAACAGTGGTTTGATTAACCCATGGTGATGGAAGGCATACATATGACTTAATATACTTTATTTGAGGGTTTTTATTTTATGTCTCACTAGATTATCATCTTTGTTAGAATGACATTTATTGGCATATTATTGAACATTTAACCTTAGCATGCATTCTAAACAAAAATATAAATATGCTGGTACATGGCCTAACTAAAAGCCGATTTCCTCGAGCCTAGAAGAATCGGTGGGTCACCTAGGGGTCCTGTAATAAATATCTTGAGTCTTCAAGTATGATTGCCTTGTCCTTGCTCCATCTTCAAGTACATTACAAAAATATTATACTAAATTTACAATGAAATTAACCTCAAACTAATTTTACATCAATAAATTTAGAAACCTCGATTTACATTCGAGGGGAATGAGTTCAGAAGATAATTTACATCGAGAAGGGGAAGAAAGGCAAGACATGCGGGCCCTATTTTAAAATTACAACCATACATACCCAAAAATATTTTAGAACATTCACCATAGGTCTTAAGGCTCATGTATCGGCACCATGCAATATTCAAACAAGTACATTGCATACATTAAAAAACAATCAATTTTTGAATTGGGTGGGTGAATTATCAATTACCCTCTGACAATTTACAAATCTACATTTGGTCTAAAAGTTTTGAAACTTTTCACTTTGGCCCTTACGTACTCGAAAGTATGCTCACCGCGGCAATGGGTTATATCGTCGTGGCGTGTATTGGTTATTATCACACATGCGTACCATGTTCTATCGCTGTGGCGATGTGTTATATCGCTGCAACGAGCTCTCATTTTCATTAGTGCCTTCTTTACACCACGATTGCCACAGTGATGGGTTATATCGCCACTGTGAGCGCTGGTATTCAATTAGCAATCACGTTAAAGAACAATTGTCACGGCAGGCATGCACTGATCTGTAACATATCAGTTCAACCAGCAACAAAAAAAGGCCAAACAGATATTGCAATCAATCTAATCATCAGATGTCAACAAAAATTTAGATCTCAATATACCAATCTTGCAAATCATCAATAAATTAAATTAATCAAGTATATTGATTTCTTAAAACATGCTCTCAAGGCAGAATATATACAGATTTAACAAAGCAACATATTATCAATCAAATACATGTTATCAAACATACATTAAACTATAAAATCTGGCACCCTAGGCTCTGATACCACTATAAGGAAATGATCTAATCCATGGCAGCGGAAAACGAAAACAAAACAACGATCAATTCCTTTTTAAGCTAAGATCAGGGTACATATATTACAGATAATATGTTAAATAAAAAATCTGCAGTAATATGAACAATCAGAGTTAAGATTAGAGTTCATACGCACATTTGGAGGCTCCTTCAAACTTGTCTCCGATTGGGTTTGCTACCGATTCAAAATAGAATCAAACCAGTGGTAATTCACACGAAGATAACCCGGAGAGCTAAAGAGGGATTTGCAAGATCCTCTTTAGCTTCAAGAACCAAATAAAAAATCAAAGAGACTTTGATTCAATGTCCAAGGGTGGCGTGAGATGTAGAGAGAAAGGAGGCTGTTTTCTTTTAATAAAATATGAATTCTCTCTTTAAAATCACAAAACACACGCACTTATATAGTGCATGTGAAACCCTATTCCAATGAGGAATAGACTTGGGCTCCAACCCAAACAACTCCTATGTTCAAACACTCCCAATCATGATATGTTATTTTAATTATTTTTATTCCAATTAAACTCAATTAATATTTTTATAAAATATATTAACAATTAATAATAATAATAATAATAATAATTCATTTAAATATATGTGTACATATATTTAAATATAATCCCACTTATTTAATTTTAACATCAAATTAAATACAGGCAACAACCTCAACAAATTTAATTGTACTGTGAGATTACCAAAATACCCTTTCGCCCTAAAAGACGAAAACACCCCGTGCATAAACTGATTATTAAATTATCTTCTATGTGTGTAACCTATAGGCTCCCCATCATACCGACAATGAGTAGTATTACGATTAACATCAATTAATCCACTAGGTTTACTTTACAACTTAATTACAAAGTCAAAGATTAAGCCTCAGTTACCAAAACACCCCTGTTTTGCAGCGCTTCAATCTCTACCCTTTGGTTAAACAACGTACAACCATAGTGAGCTTACAAGAACACACAACCAACTCAGTCAGGCTTGAGCTTCTCTCAAAGACTAGAAACGAAGATGTACTTTGGTGGAAGAAGCTCAGCACGCTTCATACATCAGCTATGAACAACACATCGTGAGCTAGGATGCATTATGGATACTTTCAAGGAGGTATTTTAAAGTTTTACCTAAGCATAGAAACTTGACAAAAACAAAGTAAAAATTAAGAGAATTTTCAGTGTACTTTTCAGGGAGATATCAGGCTTAACAAAAATTGCATTGGAGAAGAGTTTATATAACAAAACAGCCGACCAATGCAAGGAAAGGTGGCAAAAAAAAACTTTATTGGATTCACCTTTATAAAAGTTTATTTCAATATCGAGATGCCACCTATCAAAGATAATAAAACTTTCAAGCACATTGAATATGAAATTGACAAGTGTTATGGATCACACAAATATCTCAAAAGAGAATAAAACAGCTCATGCATTTTAGAAGCATAACACGTGTTACCCAAATACATCTATCAAATACAAAGTGATCACTCTGACTCAGAGGTGCTCACCCGATACGACATATAATTAACATAAGAGAAGATGGTCGCTTTAAACACGAGGTGGTCATACTGGAAGTTTAAACAAAACTATTATGCCAAGACAAGGTTAGGTGATCATACCAGGAATGAGAGTTACCACTCTAGGTTCATAAGTTGAAAAAAAAACTTACATACTTAATGCAAAAATCCTACCGAACATGGTCATTTAGCTCCTATACATATATGGTCTCCATGTTCATACGTGTAATAATCTAAACTCTCTCCAGTATTACTTATGAATTATCATTCTAGTAGTGTCTAACTGAAGCGTTGAAGCGTCGAGAGTGCACCAACCTGAATTGACGTCAACCATATCAAAATCATATAAGGCTATATAGAATTCTTACAATATCTTCAAGTAGTTTATTAAGGTTATTAAAGTATAATAGTTATTTTTTATTGTTATTTATTATGTTTCTGACCAAATCAGAAAATTAAGCCACACGAGCTGTACATAAATCTTATTAAGGTAGTAGGAGGGTTTTCGTTATGCATAATTAGATAATAATAACCTCATTTATCCTAATATATAGTTTTGATTCATGATGTTAGTTTCTTCAAGTAATTCCATCCATATGTTAATAATTTTTTAGTGTTTTGTTTCCTATCATTAAGGAGAACCGCAATAAGTAGCTTATAAATAAGGCCGTATATATTATTTTTTTTAGTGTAAGTTTTATACTCCTTACCCTAAAAGAAATGGAGAAAATTTTCGCCAAGCCAGCTCTTTTGGTGGTTGCTGTCTTGCTTACTGCATCATGTTCGTCTCCCTCTCTCCCTCTCTCTCTTCCATGCATTATGTTTATATTACCGAGACTTACAGTGCCAATAATATAAATATATTTGCATAATATATGGGATTTATCTAATTTTCCTCTAGTGAGGTGCTTTAGTATTAAACTCATTCACTACATTTAGAAAGCACTAAAATATCTTACAAGGAGTTTTTTTTTATAATTTTGTACGGGGGTGTTTAATATTCTCAAAGAAGTTTTTGATATTTTTAGGGATTTTGTATAATTTCATGAGAGTTTTTAATGCTTTCTAAACGAAGCGGTTGAATTAATACTTAACGATCTCACGTAGGGAAAAATAAAATGAACCTTATGTATCTTTGTGTGTGTGTGTGTGTCATCT